AAAAAAAAATCCAAGTTCTGAAAAAAAATATAAAAATAAATGAATTAAAATTTGAATATATTAAAACAAAAAGAGATTGATTAATTTAAATTGAATAATATTTTACATTTATGAACACAATTTATTAGAAGTTAATTATTATTAGTTAATTTTAATTTAATGATTTAAATGTTTCAAGATATTTAATGTAAATTAAATGAATTTGATTTTTATTCCATTAAACATTTAATGCATAAAATTCAACAAATATTATTATAAGTGGTTACCCAGCTCTCGAAGGACACTTTGTTAAGGTTGAAACAAAGGAAAATCCAAGTTCTGAATAGAAACATATTAGATTTATTAAGATATAATATGTAAATTAGATGAATTAGATTTTTATACCATTAAATATTCAAAGTGTAGAGTTCAGAAGGAGAAATGAAAAGGGGATCCCCGGCTCCCGGAGGGAAATTGATTTGGGTCGGTCCAAAAAAAAATCCAAGTTCTGAAAAAAAATATAAAAATAAATGAATTAACATTTGAATATTTTAAAAAGAAAATTAGATAGATAAATTTAAATTGAATTATGTTATATAATGTTGAGGGGATTTATTAAGAGTTATTTATTATTTGTTAATTTTAATCATATGATTCAAAAGTTCTAAGATATTATATATAAATTAAATGAATTTGATTTTTATACCATTAAATATTTAATGTATAAAATTCAAAAAAAAAAAAAATTTAAATGGTTACTCAGATCTTGTAGGACACTTTCTTAAGGTTGAATCAAAAAAATAAAATCCAAGTTCTGAAAAGAAACATATTAGATTTATTAAGGTATTTTATGTTAACTATCATAAATGAATTTGATTTTTATACTATTTTTATATTAGATTGGTAAATTTAAATTGATGGTTACCTGGCTCCCGAAGAATCCTTGGTTTTAGACTGAAACAGAAAAAAAAATCCAAGTTCTGTGAAGAAAAATAAAAATAAATACAATTGAACACAACTTAAAAAACAATTTGGAAAAATCCAAAAAATACCTTTCATAAAAATAGAAAAATATATTTAATACCCCATATAGATGAATCCATCAAATAAATATCTAAAACAAATAAGAAAAAAAGCAGAACAAAACAAATCTATAATACACAGTAAAAGTCATATCTCTATTTAGTAATAATAATTCAATACTGTTCAATAAAATATAAGATACAACGAAAAAAAGAAACCAAAAATTACCTTTTAAAAAATTGACAGCAAATATAATATATGTAACACCATTAAAAAGACGAACCATCAAACAAAAACCTAATGCAAATCACAAACAAAAACTGAAAACAAAATACTGACCAATATTAAACAGCATAAATCAAATGATATAAAAAGCAATCCATATAACAAATACCTATCAAAAATCATGAAATAAAAAAGACAAAAAACAAAAAACAGACCTTCATCAAATAATTAAAACACTTCCCTAACTCGAAGCAAAAACAGTTGAAC